AGACCCAAAACAAACTAAACCCAGGCAGGACAACAAAGAAGGGCAGGGCTGTGGGGAGCACCTCTAGTAGCAGGAACATGAGCACGCTGGGACAAGTCGTTGCTAGCCTGGCTGTCCCCTCTGGGGCACTGGAGAAGCCTGCTGCATCCGTAGGACTCTGTCTGAACTTGACTTGGCTCCTGTCACCCACAGACACCCGCACCACTGCACTTTCCAACCGAACTTCATCCTTTGCCCGGCATGCACCTCCTCACCTTCCAGGCAACCTGATGGCCTCATTCCCCTGCACGTTTGTGTGGGTGGGTTTTCTGCCTTCTCCCTACTTTTGCTTGTCCAAAACCTTGGGGTGAACTGGAGTACCCCCAGGGGCATCCAGTTCAGAAAAGAAAGAAAACTGCAGATGCCCTTGAAGTTCTCTGGCCTGACACCTGAACTCTCCATGGATACATGGGAAGCTGGAAGGTTTACAGCGGTGCCCAGTGTCAAACGGGTAACTTCAGGTCACTGATAAGTGCTTAGCCTCTGGGCAATTTCCCCCCTCCTAGACCTCCTTACCCCTTACCGGAGCTCTGGTAGTGTAGTGCCTAAGGCACTTGACTGCTAAACAGAAGGGTGGAGGTTCAAACCCACCACCCACTCCTTGGAAGGAAGACTGGGCAATCGACTTCCCTAGAGACACCTCCTTGGAAACCCAAGGAGGGGTTGCTATCAGTCAGAACCGACTCCACAGCAGTGAGCTGGGTTCTTTTTGACTTCCTTACACACTCTTCTTACACGAATCTAATGTGCTCCCTGCTGTGAAGTGGTTTGTAAATAAAGCTCTCTGGCCTGAGGGTGGGGTCTCTGGCCACATTCAGACCTTATGGAGTCACCCATGGCCCAGCGTGCCTGGCCTCTTGCCTAGCTGGGCCCTCCTCACTGCTCCCCTCGCTCATTCTATTGTGTGCCTTTGAGTCAGCTGAGTTAATGCAACACTATAGGACCGAGAAGAGCTCCAAAGGGTTTCCTAGGCTGTAATCTTTAGGTAATCTTTAAAGAAATCAAAAGTCCTCACAACTAGACCAATAGGCAACATCATGATAAATGGGAAAAGATTGAGGTTGTCAAGGATTTCATTTGACTTGGATCCACAATCAACATCCACAGAAGCAGCCATCAAGAAATCAAACTACTTATTGTATCGGGCAAATCTGCTGCAAAAGACCTCTTTAAAGATGTCATCTTGAGCACGTAGATGCACCCAAGCCAAGCCATGGTATTTTTAATCACCTCATATGAATTTGAAAGTTGAACAGCAAATAAAGAATACCGAAGATGCCCTTGAATGATGGTGTTGGCAAAGGATATCGAATAGCCCATGGACTACCGGGAGAACAAACAAAGCTGTCTTGGAAGAAGGACAGCCAGGATAGTCCCTAGAAGATGAGTCCCCAGATGTTGAGTACTCAGGCCGGACCAGTCCCTGGAGAACACCATGCGTTAAACAGGAAGGCCTTCAATGAGATGGATCGACATGGCAGCTGCAACAACGGGCTTAAGCACAGCAACTATTGTGAGGACGGAGCAGGACCGGACAGTGTGTTGTTCTGCTGCACACGGGGTCACTACAAGTCAGAAGGGACTCGCACAAAACAACAATTGTTATGGGAGCAGACTGCCGGGTCTTTTGTCCTGAGGAGGGAGAAGTGGCTGGTGGGTTCAAACCGCAGACCTTTTGCTTAGCAGCTGAGCACTTAACCACTGCACCACCAGGGCTCCTTCACAATTCACCACTCCCAGCCCTTGCCCCTCTCTCCAGCAACCCCAGCCTATACTACTCACCCCAGTATGTGATTGGTGAGGAGGTCTGTCAGGGTGTGGCAGGTGGAAGTGGCTTCTAGGGAGGGTCTCTGTCCCCAACTTACTGTCTGTGCTATCAGAATCCCTCCAGCCCACTCTCACAGCCCCTAGATCCTTCAACTCAAGGTCTCCCTCTTCCTCCTGGAGCCTTGGCCCACTACCCCATCACCCTTCACCCCAACACCCACCAGCCGGCTCCTCTCCAGTGGCCCTTCCCCACTCTGGGGACTCAGAAAGTCTGTCCTGCCTGAGGGATCCCACAATCCACTTCCCACATAAAAGGCCATGATGAGGCTCCACAAGAACCCCAAGGCCTGTGTGTGCCCCCTCAGGTCTTTGCCCATTTTTAACTAGGGAGCTTTCTTAGGGTGCCTGTTCATCTCCCCAGGTCTAGGGAGGAAATGTGTGGAAGTCCAAGGACTTCCTCCCTGCAGGAGGCCGGCAGCCCAGGCAATGCCTCCCCGTATAAGGTGGAAAGACCTGTCCCCTGGACCGAAGCAGCCCACCGAAAACCACCTGCTCAGGTGAAGAAAAGGCCCTTTTTCCTGCGGGGGAGGGGGGGGGCAGACAGCACAGGACTTCACGTGGACTTCACCCACACCTCAGGCCATGCCCCTTCTGCATTCACAGGGTGACCCTGCTAGCACTCACAAAGGCAGGATGAAGTCACAGCACCCAGCCTTTTGGCCGCCCCTTGCATCCAGTGAGGGAGGGAGAAAGGGATGGTGAGAGAAGGGAGACCGGCCACCTGCTGCCCAGCCAGGGAGTAGGGAGCAGCGGGGCCTCACTCACCCAGTGTCTCCGCAGCAGAGGTGGGTGCCCAGAGCTGGAGAGCCAGCAGCAGGGCACAGCCAGCCAGCATCTCCCAGGGAGACGGGCCCCTGAGGGTTGGGTCTTCGCTTCTCAGGAAGGACCAAGGAGTGAGAGCCTCCAAGACAGCTGTGCTAAAAAGGACACGGAGCGGAGACCTTTGCCTTGAGGGAGGAAGGCGTCTGGCCCAGGATGGGGGTGTGGTGATGGGGATGGGTGGGTGGCGTAGGGGTGACCAGAGAGAGTTGGCCAAAGGGCAGCTGGTCAACCCTCCTCCCTTCTTACTGCCAAAGAGCTGCGTGTCCTGAGCCAGGGTCTCTCCGGCAAAGCCATAGTCACAGAGTGGGGCAGGGCCAGAGGGAGGGACAAGAGGTTGGAGGTGTGAGAGTCAGATGGTTGCCAAGAGGCTGGGGCCACAAGATGCCAGGAAGAGGCTGCCCATGGAGGGAGGGGTGAGGGAACTCTGGCCAGGGGCAGCCAGCAGCAGGCACAGCGAAGACCCCTAGTGGTACCTGCAGCCAAGCCCCTCAAGGCCCTTTGTTCTTCAGCCCTTCTCCTCTTCTCCACCTCAGGTTCATCTTCCTCATCTCCAGTCCCCTCCCTCAGGCCCTAGCCCCTAGCCCTCCTCCTGGGTGGGCCCCATTCACAGCTGAGGCTTTATGGTCCTAGTCTCCAGCCCTGGCCAGAGTCAGAGGGGAGGAGAGGTCACCGCCTGTGCCTCCCCTGACCAAGGCAAAGGTCCCAGAGCCTGTCCAAAACCCCCACCCAAACAACATCATCTGTCAGCCAAGGCTCAAATGAATTCAGAGGTCAGACTGGCTTCCCGCAGTATTAGGAACACAAGGGCCCAAGCCCCCAGGCACAGTTAGGCCAGTGTGTGGATGTGTATTTGGGACCAGGCTTTGGGAGGTTAAAGAAAGGTCTTTGGAGAGGCCAGCTTCACACATCCATTCAACTGTCAGGTGACTCAGGCAGACCCAGCCGGGGCCACCACATCTCCCTGACCCAACTCTCAAAGCCCCAGCCCCAAGCTCCCAATGTTGAAGAAGGACACAGGTGACAGGTCCGTTCAGAACTGCATCTGCTGCTGGCCCTAGCCCCATCCACTCCCTAACAAAACGAAACCCCCTGTCCTCGTGTTCATTTCCACTACAGTCACGGCCCATGGGTGGTGGGCGGATGACACACAGCAGAGTATATACACAGCAATTTCTTTGACAATAAATACTATATTGTGTTTGCATCAGAGAATTGGCGACTCACTGACTTCCTGTCCCCAAACCAGATCTTCCTGGGTAAAGGAGGTTGAGGGCTTCTGGGCTCAAAGGTTACTGTAGGGATGGGGTGCACTCAGGGAGAGGACGAAGGAGGGGAGTAGGGAGTGGCTGGGAAGAAGGAGGTGAGGCAGGAAAGGAGGAGAGGAAGCTTTAGGGGAAAGAGGAAGGAGGGGGTTGAGGACCCTACCTCAGGGCTGGACCTTGAGGAAACCCCCCCACCCCCACCCCCACCCATGATTGAGGGGACTCAGCTCAGTGAGAAGATCTTGGGAGTGAGAGGGAGGGGTGGATCCCCAGAATGAGGGGATCAGGGCCTGGGGAGTGCCACCCCTAAGAAGCAGAGGGTATCTATTCCTAGCTAAGGACAGGGGTGTGGGTGAAGGAGGGAGGAGTTAAGACTGAGGAACAGTGATGGGGGCAGGAAGGATTTAGGGCTGAGGATACAAGGATGGGGAAAGGGGAAAATAAGGGAACTGGAGATGTAGGGTTAGCGTTGGGGGGAGTGATTTAAGGGATGGGCCAGGATGGGGAGAAGATTTAGGAAAGGGGGCAAGGAGCACAGGAGTGAGTTATATGAGAAGCAGGTACCTGGGTGGAATGGAACTACTGGCTGGCTGCAAGCGTGGGGTGAGGAACAGGCAGTAGGGGAAATAGGGGTTCCTGCAAAGGGAAAATAGGAACTAAGGCCTGAGAGCAGGGGAGGAATGTGGGAGGGGGAGCAGGAGGCAATATGAGCAGCAGGACTGCGACAGGAGGCTGCGCTGGACCGAGTCCTTCTGATTTTCACAATGAGCACCTAGAGTATCAGGCCAAGTGTGTCGTACAGGTGATGAAACCAAGGTTCAGAGAAATTAACTGACTTGCCCAAGGTCCCACAGTGGAAGAGTCTGGATTTGAAGCGGGTCTTGAGGGAGGTTCAGTACAGCTGGGAGGAGGAGGCCCAAAAGGCAATCTAATTTTGCCCAAGGACTCCAGGAGCCCTGTACAAGTCTTGAGATGGGCACAGTGCCCAGTTAGTTCCCTCTTGCTGTCCCGGGGCAGGGCGGAGGGATGGTGAAGACACCTCTGCGGGGCTCAAATGGAGGAGAAGGCCACCTCAGGCCTTTGGATCTGCACCTGGGAGAGCATGTGTGAAAGACGAGTGAGATCAAGCAGGTGGCCACCCCTACTTGGGTCGGATGGGAGGTCACTGGCTCCTGGTCCTGACCCAGCCCCCAGGCCCTGGGGCGGGGGCGGGGACGGGGATCTGGAACTGGAATTGAGAGAGTTCTGTAGTATCCTCGGCTCTTGCCCCCCTCACCGTCACATTGGTGTCCACATTCTCCAAGACTATCTGGAAGTTTTCGTCCTTGACTTGAAAGGAATGGAAGAGAGGGGGAAGAAGTAGTGAGGGAGGCGGGGTCTCAAGGGGTTCCTGGGTCCTGTTCTGCCCTGCGGGGGTCGCCCGTGCAGGAGAGGCGCAGGGAAAAGGCTGTAGAGACGCCCTTGCACGGGGTAGCTGTCCTTCCTGGGCTAGAAAGGCTGCATGCTCATTCCCCAGAAGGAAGTCTCACCTGTTCCGTCATGTTCGAAGCCCAAATTTGAAAAAGTCCCTACGACTTCCTCATTCCAGAAGTCTGCCCATTTTCCGTCCTGGGACTCGGACCTGGTCGGAGCGCAGCGTGATCAGGTCAGGGTCGCGGGACCGGGAGCCTGGCGCCTCCCACCCTCCAAGTCTGGGTCCTCCACGTTCTCACCCGAGGCGGGAGCCACGCCTACTCCGGGAGCGCGCGGCGAGGCAGCCCAGCCCAAGCACCAGCAGAAGCAGCAGCACCGCGGCGCCCGCCAGGCCCCCGACCAGCGCCCTCCAGTGGATGGCCACCTCGCAGCGCGGGCCCGAGAACCAGTGCGTGTCGGAGGAGAAGCAGCTGGGCAGGGGAGCGGGGGGTAATCACAGTCACAGACGGTCACACCACTCGGGCCCTGGTCCAGTCTCGCATGGACCCCTCCGGTGCCAGAGGGTGGGCCACAGCTCCACTCTAACGCTAGAGGGCGAGGGAGGAGGGAGAGCGGGCGGAATGGGCGGGGCCTCTATGGCGGGGCCTAAGTGGGCGGGGCTTACGCTTCCGGGCCTGGCCTCACCGGCAAGTAGGACCGCTCCTTTCCAGAATGCACTGGCCTTGGTTGCAATTGATGGCGCCGTCCAGGCCCGATGTGCAATTGGTGACGCAGCGGAGCTGCTTCCCCTCAACCAAGGGGAAGTAGAAATCCTCGTAGCCCTTGGCAACGGCCCGGCGGCAGATGCCTGGGGGGTTTACATAGGGGGTTGTGGAGAGAGAGACCAAGACCTTACCCTGTCTACTTAGGGCCTTGTTATACTGACTCTGAAAATGGATCAGAAAGACTACATTTCCAAGGGTGGTGTGCTGTGGGGTAGACGCGGGAATTAGGATAGGGGAGTCAGGTCCAGCCTCTTCTCACCTTCCCTGCTAGTCTTCGCTGTGAAGCTGCTAAAAAGATCAGAGGCTGCCCTGGGTCACATCACTGCCTTTCTACAACATCTCTGCCGCCTCCCCAGGGAACCTCAGTGGGCACATGCCCCTGGTGGGAAGTGTGATGGCCTCGTGGGGCCACTCAACGCGTTGCCACACACTCACCTTCCGGAGTCAGTTCAGTCCTGCTGCTATTGTTCATCTTGACCGAGTCAGGCTTAAAACAGAGAGCTGAGAGGACACAGTTACAAGCGCAGAGGGAATGCAGGGGAGAGACAGAGGTGAGGCCAGGAACTCAGGGCAGGTTCAGAGGGCTCTGTCCATAGGACATGGGGGGGACCACCGGGAGAACCCCTGACTACAGGTAGTAATCGGGTTCCCAACCACCCTGGAAACAGGGAACCTAACTGTCAGGGGGTCTCTTCCTCAGTGCCTAAGGCCTGGTGAGCCCCTCCCCAGCCCCACCCTTGACCCAGCTGGGTAAGCAAGCCCCTTCTCTCCACTGGCCTGGGGTACCACATGCTGGCACCTAAGCCCACATTGCCCCCCTTGTCTGAGCTAGAGCAGGCTGGGTAGTGGCTCTGAGACTGGGCCCTTTGCCGGCCCCAGGTGGTTCTGCTCACTGTGGTTGTCACTGCAGTCGGTTCCCTCCTTGCTGGCGTTCTGGAGCTCCTCCTTGAGTTCCGTCTTCACCTTCTCATACTCACTGTCCAGCTGGGGACTGAAGGGCAGCTCCAGCAGGACCAGATAGTCCACCACAATGCTGCCATTTCTGAGGATGTTGGTGAGGGAGCCTTAGAGAGTGCTCAGGCCTGCAGGTAGGTCCTTGGAAGGGCACCTCCGGGACCAGCCACAAATGCACAGGGTGGTGCAGAGGCAATGAGTTGGGATACGACATGAATCCTTCTCCGAGGGGCTGCTAACGCCCTAGACTTTGTCAGGCCAGGAAGGCTGGGGCAGGAATGATTTACTTCCTTTTTGCATTGCATCAAGCATCACCAAACCAGGGTTCTGTGCCTCCCTCCTGTTGACTCTCTCAGCAGACGAGTGCCAGCCAGAGAGGGACCAAGTCAACAGTCTGGGCACCAGGGTTCCCACCAGTCCTCAGGTACCACTCTAACCTCTCTGCATGTCCCCCCATCTAATTTCTCTCTTTCCAATATGCTTAAAGAAAGGGAGTGGCAACCCGCCTTAGAAATGACCCCAGGAAATTACTCCAAAGATCCCCCATGGAGCGGTTCACTTATGACTCTCTCCATCTTTCTCTTTATGAAATCTGGTGACTCCAAAAGCAGAGGATGGATTTCCTGGCCTGTCTTTGCACCCTCTCCCCACCGTCACCACCACCACCCCATCACACCTCCACCACATCCCCAAGAAGGGTCTCCTACCTCAGGGTCAGGATCTCCACACCCTGGAAGCCCTTCACATTTTGGTAAATCTTCTGGATCTGAAATGCCAAGGATTCCCTAGGCTCACGTCTGAACCTCCATACCCGAGGGCATCCAGTGGCCCAAGCTTAGCACCAGGGGAGGACCTAGGCCTTAAGTCAACCTCCATCCCCACCTCACCTGATTCTGGAAGGTTGTGCTGAAATCCCTATAGGCCTGGGATGTGTTGTCATTGAGGTCAGGGGAGAACTCTTGGTCCACAGATACCTCCATGCCCACTTCAACATCCACAGTGTCTGCACACAACATGCCCAGCTCTGGTCACTTCCCCATCTACTCCTATCTGACTTCAGCCCCCAGCCAGACGGTCCTCCCTCTGCCCTCTCCAAGTTTGCTGAGGACTGACTGAACAGCAGGAGGCAAACAAGAATTCTGGCATGTCTTGTCCTGAGATGAGGGAGAATGAAGTCAGAATGCCCTCTGTGGTGGGTAGAATGATTGCCACAGAGATGTCTAGGCCCTAATCCCTGGAACCTGAGAATATGTTATGTTATAAACAAGGGAGAATCAAGGTTGCAGATGGAAGTGAGAGTGCTAGTCCACTAACCTCATATAAGAAAATTACCCTGGATTACCTAAATGGGCCCAATGTAAACACCAGGGTCTTTAAAAGTGAAAGAGGAAGACAGACAAGGTCAGCGTCAGTCAGAAATAAAAAAGGTCTAACTATGGAAAAAAGGCACAGAGAGATGCTAGCTTTGAAGACTGAGAGAGAGAGTCTTGAGACAAGGAATACAGGCAGCTTCTAGAAGCTGGAAAGGGGAAGAAAATGGTCATCAAGTCAATTCTAACTCATGGTGCCCACACGTGTTACAGAGTAGAACTGATCCATAGTGTTTTCTTAGCTGTAATCTTGCAGATTGCTGCTTTAAGCAGATCACCAGGTCTTTCATGGTGCCACTTTCATGGTCACACATGCCATCTGGGGATCAATTCTTCCCTAAAGCCAGCCCTGTCAACACCCTGATTTTAGCCCAGTGAGACCCATGTTGGACTTCTACAGAACTGTAAGATGATAGATTGTATTGTTTAAGCTGGTTACTTTTTTGTGATTTGTTACAGCAGCAATGGGAATGAATGCATTCCCCACGCGGGACAGACCAGAAGGAGATCCCAGGAAGAGTTAAGGTTCTAGCCAACTGCTGGAGATGTGAGCATAGAGAGGAGGCATGTTATGGGGTAGGGGAGGAGGTGGGCTACAAGGCAATGAAGGACTGGGGTTGGGTTGAACAAAATGCCATGGATGCCTGCAGGCCAGCCAGAGACTGGGCCCAAAGAGAGTCAATGGGGCTTCTGGGAGAGAGTGCAGAGGGTGGGGCAACTCACCTAGAGCCACCTGTTCCTTGGGGAACTCACAGATGTAGCCATGGAAAGTGCTGGGGCACACACACTTGAGGCCATCCCATTTGCCCCCATTCTGGCACATGATGTCCTCAAGCTGACAGTGGTCACCAGAGAATCCCAAGGGGCAGAGGCACTGACCTTGGTCCCAGGTCCCACCATTGTCACAGGAGCCTAGACAGCACCAAACGAACAGCAAGTTCAGGGTGATGTCTGGCCTTCATGGTGCAGGAATTTAGCAGGGGAAGGAGGGTACGGAACAGGAAAGAAGAAGGTCCAACCTGGGGTGGTGGTCAACCTTGACTGTGTAGTTTTCTGAGTAGTGGTCGAAGTTGTCATGTGTGATGTACGGGTGGAGGGAGTCTGGGTGGTAGTCATTGATGTCTCTGAAGGCTTGGTGATGGTCGGAGTGGAACTTGTCAATTTGCTTGAAGTCATCATATCCGTTGGAAGGCTGGTGCTTGGCTTTGCAGTGAGTGGAAGGTTAGTGATGCCAGGAATGCGTGGGGTAGTTACAGAGTTGCTGCTCATCCAGGTCCCAGTAGTGGTCCTTGTGTTGATAGAACTAGGAGGCCTACTGGTGGGGTAAGCCTCAAGAGGCATGGAAGTAGAAATGCCTATATGTGTAGGAAGGAGAGTTCTCACACTGGTGGAACTAGGAGATGAGTCCACGTCAGGAGTAGAGGGAAACGTTGACAATGTACATGGAGTAGTGGGAGACGCAGAGACTACAGTAATTGGTATAGATTCTGGACATGGTGTTGTAGAATAAACAACATAAATGGGGGTTGTTTTAGTAAGAGTACTTGTGAGAGAGGAGATTGCTGAAGATGTTCTTGTAGTTACAAATGGAGAGAGAGTAGGAAAAGTTGTGACAACAGAAGACACTGTATTTTCTGTACTGGAAATATGAGAGGAGGAAATAAAAGAGCTAGTGGTATCAGTAAGCGTTGTAATTGTATTGGGAGGAGATACGGAAGAGGACATTGCTAATGTGGATATTGAGAAAGAAGTGATGTTGTTAAAAGATGTAGTTACTGCATCTGTAGAAGTAATGCCTACAGAAACAGTTTCTGTTGTACCAGTGGTAGGCATCAGAGAGGTGATGAGTGTAGGAGGGGTTGCTGTGGTCAGGCTGGTACTAAGAGATGACACAGGCACATTAGTTGATGTCCCCTTGTTGTCAGTGGTCATGAGAGATGAAATGGTTGCTGGTGTGGTTGTGCTCTGTGTGAAAATGGTGTTTGTAGAAGTGATACTTGATGTCTTCTGTGTGGTTGTCAGAGTGGGAATTGTTATAAAGTCTGTAGTAATGGTGATGGCTGTTTCTGAAGATGGGTGGGTTGTAGGAGTGGGTGTCGTGGACGTGGTGGTTGTTGATGTGTCGGTGGAAGTGATCAGAGAGGTAATTTCCATAGTGGCCCTGGTGGAAGTAGTACTTGGAGATTTAGAGCCTGTTGTCAGAGATTTAGGTGTAGATATGGCATCAGTGGTGAGGAGTGTGGTACTGATATAGGGCATTGGGGTAGTGTTTGTGGTTTTACTACTGACTGGGTCTGTACTTGAGAAGATTGAAGAAGACAGGATAGTGGTGGATGACGTGAATGTATCAGTGGTTGTGGGAACAGGGTTGCTGGCTGTTGTAGAATGAACTGTACTCGTGGGTCTGATTGATGAAGTCACTGGGGATGTAGAAGAAACTTCTGTAGTGACAGTGTGTGTGGTTGGGAGAGTGGGAGTTGTTACAAAAGCTGTGGTACTGGTGCTGGCTGTTTCTGAAGTTGGAAGAGTGGTAGGAGTGGGTGTGGTGGAGGTGGTGGTTATGGATGTGTCAGTGGAAGTGATTAGAGACGTAATTTCGGTGGTAGCACTGATTACAGTAGTACTTGGAGATTCAGAGCCTGTTGTCAGAGATGTAGGTATAAATCGGTCATCAATGGTGAGGACTTTGGCCCTGTTGGAGTGTGTTGGGGTAGTGTCTGTGGTTTTATTTCTGACTGTTTCTATACTTGGGAAGGTTGAAGAAGACAGCATAGGTGTGGATGATGTGAATGTACCAATGGTCGTGGGAACAGGGGTGCTGGCTGTTGTAGAATGAACTGTACTCGTGGGAGTGATTGATGAAGTGAGTGGAGACGTAGAAGAAACTTCTGTAGTGACAGTGTGTGTAGTTGTGAGAGTGGGAGTTGTTAGAAAATCTGTGGTACTGGTGCTGGCTGTTTCTGAAGTCAGGAGAGTTGGAGGGGCGGATGTGGTGGAAGTGGTGGTTATGGATGTGTCAGTGGAAGTGATCAGAGAGGTGATATCCGTGGTGGCACTGGTTGCAGTAGTACTTGGAGATTCAGAGCCTGTTGTCAGAGATGTTGGTGTAGATCTGGCATCAGTGGTGAGGAGTGTGGTACTGATTGAGGGTATTGGGGTAGTGTTTGTGGTTTTACTGCTGACTGTTTCTATACTTGAAAAGGTTGAAGAAGACAGCATAGGTGTGGATGATGTGAATGTATACATGGTCATGGGAACAGGGGTGCTGGCTGTTGTGGAATGAACTGTACTCGTGAGAGTGATTGATGAAGTGACTGGGGAGGTAGAAGAAACTTCTGTAGTGATGGTGTGTGTGGTTGTGAGAGTGGGAGTTGTTAGAAAACCTGTGGTACTGGTGCTGGCTGTTTCTGTAGTTGAGAGAGTTGGAGGAATGGGTGTGGAGGAGGTGGTGGTTATGGATGTGTCAGTGGAAGTGATCAGAGAAGTGATATCCATGGTGGCACTGGTGGCAGTAGTACTTGGAGATTCAAAGTCTGTTGTGAGAGATGTAGGTGTAGATCTGGCATCAGTGGTGAGGAATGTGGTACTAATGGAGGGCATTGGGGTAGTGTTTGTGGTTTTACTGCTGAATGTTCCTATACTTGAGAAGGCTGAAGAAGACAGCATAGGTGTGGATGATGTTAATGTTTCCGTGGTCGTGGGAACAGGGGTGCTGGCTGTTGTAGAATGAACTGTACTCGTGGGAGTGATTGATGAAGTGACTGGGGACGTAGAAGAAACTTCTGGAGTGACAGTGTGTGTGGTTGTGAGAGTGGGAGTTGTTAGAATACCTGTGGTACTGGTGCTGGCTGTTTCTGAAGTTGGGAGTGTTGGGGAAATGGGTGTGGTTGAGTTGGTGGTTATGGATGTGTCAGTGGAAGTGATCAGAGACGCAATTTCAGTGGTGGCACTGGTTGCAGTAGTACTTGGAGATTCAGAGCCTGTTGTCAGAGATGTAGGTGTCGATCTGGCATCAGTGGTGAGGAGTGTGGTACTAATGGAGGGCATTGGGGTAGTGTTTGTTGTTTTACTGCTGA